AAATTGCCATCATACTATCACTTGTTAACCGAGAAAAATCCAGGAACTATTACACACATTGAACTCGACTCGAATAACAAGTTCTTGTACTTCTTCTTAGTGGGCCGAGTGTACGTGGTTTTCGAGAGTACATGAGGCCAGTAATTTGTGTTGATGGAAGTCATTTGAAGGGCCAGTATAAGGGAACGCTACTAGTAGTTGCAGCGCAAGATGCTAACCTACAAATATATCCTCTTGCTTGGGGTGTTGTCGATGGGAAACAAATGCATTGTGGTATTGGTTCTTTGCGAAGTTGAAAGATGTCGTTGATGATTCAAACCAGCTAGTGTTTGTGTCAGACAGGAAGAAGAGTATTAAGCGGACAATTACGTGGTTGTTCCCGCTTTCTCACCACAGTGCCTGCATCTGGCATATCGAGAAAAATCTTATTGCTAGGTATAGCAGTAGCAATGTCATATTCTTGTTCAAGCAGGCAGAGCTAGCATACCGCCTATCGAAATTTGATCAGTTCATGACACAGATAAGAATCATTCGATTGTTAGTGGCATCTCACTTGGAATGTGCCGGTATATCCACGTGGTCACGGGCAAATTTTGTTGGTAATCGGTACAACGTTATGATGAATAACATTGCGGAGTCACTAAATTCAATCCTAACGCGACAACGAAGTTTCCCTATAACCTCGTTGGTCGAAAATATTACGTCATTGATGCAACGATGGTTCTACGAGAGAAAAAGAGCATCCACCAAATGTAATACGACTGTGATACCAAAAATTGATGATGAATTGAGAAAATCATTCGACGCTGGTGCAACCTTACTAGTACGAAATTTGGACGAACTCATTTTTAAGGTAGGTGTAGCTACCGAACTTTGTACTGTCGACCTTATAGGTAACACATGTTCATGTCAAAAGTTTCAGATGCGACAAATCTCATGTTCACATGCATCCCAAGCTGCTTGCATAAAAGGAAAATCATTATATGATTTGTGCTCCCTTTACTACACCACAGAATGTTGGCGAGCTGTGTAAAACAAAGTTCTTCACCCTGTTGGCCAAGAGTTATATTAGGTTGTTCCTCAATTTATTCGTTCCATCAAAGTTTTGCCCACCCGAATATACGTAGAGCACCATGTC